TATGTGTTTCTTTTTTAATAGGTAGTGGATCCCAAACAGGGACTTGAGCAAGTATAGCTTGTATAGCTTGTGCAGCTGAAACTCTAGTATCCCATTGTGGAGATTTTAGTAGAGTACAAACTCTTGCTAATAAATGATGTAAATCATGAGGATGTAACCTTTGTGCTTCTCCTAACTGTTGTGCTGCAGCTCTTTTAGTTACTGCATTTGTCCCTGTTTCTAATAATATGAATAGCCTATCCAGCCTAATAGAAATGCATTATAATTGTCATAAAATTCTTTTTATTATTATATAAAGTTATAAATAATAATCTATTTTATAAAAATATATATAAATCTTACTAATAATATTTCTTAATTATTAAATTATATTCATTATTATATCATAATAAAATATTTTATTTTAAACAATAGTAAATATTATAAACATTCATATTACTTTATATATTTTATTTCACATAAATAATTATCAGTATTTTACCTTGATGTCATGTTTATAAGTAATGTTGATCAATGAACAGCTATAAATCCCTAAAATCAAAATAAAATAATAATATATATATATATATTTATATATAATTTTTACAATAAATAATTTTTACAAATATAAATGAGAGATTATTATTAAAAATTATTATATATAATATTAATATTTACAAGAAATAAATATAAATATATATATATATATACATATATTTAAAATATTGTTAAATATCACAAAAATTCAATTGAAAATATATGGAATGCACCAACTATGCAAAATAAAGTGGAGTACATGAAATATCAAAATAAACAATATATTATTTATTATTTATTTAATAAAAAGAAAATGATCTAAATAAAAAAAATCGATTGTCAAGTTTAAGAGCGAAAGTTTGTTGCAGTTTGATTAATGAAAAAAATGATAGATGACATCTGCAAGAATGTTTTTTAATCGATACAAAGTTTGGAGATCTATATAATGAAAAAATTGGGGAAAATGATATAAGTTTTAATTAAGAAAATTAACCATAACATGATATTTTTTGAGATATTATAAAAAACACAATATGGACATATAAATAAATAGTGAACAGTCGTACAGCATACCTGATTTTAAAATATAATATATTTAATTGCTAGGTTTCAGCTAACCCGCATAGCCGTTTCCCACTGTATTGATTCCCCGAAAATCACATTACGCTGTATATTTCGAAAAAGTCGACAGCTAGACAGACTACTTGTCAAATTTTTCGGAGAGAAACGCATGTTACAAGCATCAAATTTATACTGACAGCCATGTTGCAGAGGAACCTGAGTTTTGTCCCCCAATTTTACTCTCATTGGTGGATTATTTGCATCTTATAGATCGATGAACCAATCAACGTTTTCTTCGTGCAATGATCACATTAAGTTGCACATGCTTTATGCGTAGAAAGAAATTATGCCGCGTACACATACGTTTTAGGAACACTACTTTCAAAATTATTATATCATTCTTTAATAATAAAATCAGAATGCATATGTATGCTTCCTGTTATTCTCTTATTTTATAATACTTCTATTCAATTTAATTATTCATGATTCTTGGTAAATTCTTTTTTACATTTTTATATATCGTTTTAAAAATTTTATATTTACATATTTAAAATTAAAATTATATAATTATACTATAATTATACCATTTTATAAATTCTAATATATGAACAATTTCTAGTATAATAAACAATTTTTCATACACTTTTCAGTGTAAAACTAAAATTTAAGTTTGAAATTTCGATATAAGTTAGAGATTAAAATAAGAATATATATGCAAATAATTTAAGATATTCATTATTTTTTCTAATTATTACATTGATTTATTCACTATATTGATATTATTTAATTTATATTTATTATTTTAAATAACAGAATTTTTTTTTTAAGTGAAATATAGAAAATATAAAAAAATAATAAAAAATAAATTATGAAATATTAAATATTTTTTTATATTCTATGATTACACATAATTAAATGTTTGAATAATATTTATTTTACATTATAGATGTCTAAAATTGTTGACATTACTTTTGTTAACTAAATCATTACAATAGTATTTCATTTTGAATACATTTTTATATGTAAAACATTGATAATATATAATGTTTTAATGATATTTGTAATTTCTATGTCCCCCTGAAAATGAAAATGTACAATATGATATTAATATGCTAATTTTTATAATTAATAATCAATTATAAGATTGTATATAAACTTACTGAGACGCAAATAATTTACGCAATAACCAAATATTGAACCTAAAACGGCAGCTTGATATAATGGAGCCATATTTGCTTTCCTGGGGTGTATATATTTTAATTGCCAACGCCAATGTGCTGTAATTTTATTATAATTAGAACATATTTTAATATTTGTAACAATATTATAATAATAAATTTTGATTTTATAACATAAGAAAATATTAATGACTGATATATAGATTTTTATGAAATTTTATATAGTTTGATTTCAATGAATTATATAAAATTTTATAAAAATCTATATATTAATCATTAATGTTATCTTGTAAGTTAATTTTAAATATTTCTTTGAATATATAAAAATATGTAGAGAAATTATTTCAATTGATTTAAAATTAATTTTCTCGATAATATTATATACATATAATAATGAAGATTTTAATATAAGTATTACATAATTTGTGAACTATATATATATTTATAAAATGACTTTATACCTCGAGAAATTAATGCTGCAAATTGTCTTAATCCTTTTTCACGTCGACTAAACCATGCTGATAATTCACCAAGTTTGACATCGCCAAATGGTGTATCAGCTATAAGAATAAATAATAATTAATATATTTAATTCATTTACAATTAAAAAAATAATTAAAAATGATTTGTATCTTACGTTTCCCGTAGTATCGAGAAGGATCATATGGGCCATGTTCTGCAGGATTATATCCTTCGGGATAACAACCCCAGGATTTAAATTTGATTAATTCAGTGAATTTATTTTCTTTAATCGTCATTATAAGATGACTAAATTATTTAACACGTACTTATACTTCGAATGTTTCGATGAATAAGTAATACTGCATATAGGTTATTTCGGATACAGAATATACAATCACTTAAAGACAAAATCCCTAACTATGTAGTTAAATTATTATATAATGTTTTTGCTAGTGATTTTATAAAAATTTAATAGTGATATTATTCATAATAATCTTAAATTTATTACATATTTATTTGCAAAATAAATTGTAATAATAATATAATATAAATATAATGTTAATTATTAATTTTATTTAATATTGATCAAGAAAATTTTTATTTTTAAATTTGAAAACGTACGGTTTTATTCATACATATATCTAATTTTAAAAATTTTATTTACTTCAAATTTATTTAAAATTTTTATTGTAAGATTTTATTTATATTAATATTATAGATGACTTAAAGTTTAAATTTTATGGAATAAGTATTAAATACACATATACATATTTAAGATAATAATGATTTAATTTCAAAATAAACATTCAGTAACTTTTTCATTAAAATAAATAACTAACATGCATAGAAATTATTTTTTATTGAAAATTATATTTTATCATTTGCTAATTAATTTTAAAATCTGATATTAAATTTATAAGTTACCTTTTACATGCAAAATTTATATTGCAGTAGATATCAAAATCTTGACAAAGATAGAATATAATTCTACAATGCTTTTTTAAAATGTATTGTTAATTATTAAAAGTTACTAATTATTAAATTATTGAATTCTTATTTAATAAATTCTCAAGCCATAAGTGTAGATACTAAAAATAATATTTATATATCTTCCACTTCTATTTAAGCGTATTGAATTTTTAAATTAAAGTATGATTATAATTATTATATACATGTAAGATAATTGATATTTGTGCTCGTTGTTGATCAATTTATTTCTCTATTTCTTATTACTATCACTAGCCTCTAGTGATCATTAATTTTATTATATTCTTATATTATTATATTCTTATATTCTTTAGATATAAAGATTACTTTTCTCCCTGAATTCAGTAGAAAGTTGGAAAATTTGCGATCACTTTTTTTTTAATATTCACTTTCGATTCAATGAATTTATGTCATGAAGTTTTATATTCTTACTAACTTCCGAAATAAATTAATTTTTTAATGATGGAAATCATTTTTCAAGGTTAAAATGACAATGAAGCTTAATAAATATAATTATAAAAGTCGCTCCTTCAGAGATTTGTTTTAATTCATAAATATATGCCAAACACTTTTTTATTCGAACAAAAGCGAATTTTAATTTTGTCTTGTAAATATAGCTATTTTGAAATTTTTAGTATTTTTGTTTCAAAAGTTACATATTTAAATAAAAATAAAATTGCTCATTTAAAAAATTGTTTCATTTAATTATGAAAAAAATTTCTCATTAAAATAAATAATATATTATAATAAAAATATTTATCAGTTTTTTAAATATGTATAGTTATTCGAATAAGTTTAATTAATAGATTGCGGATATTTTATTATTATTATTAATTTAAATTCAGTTTTATTATATTTTCATTTTTTTATAAATAAATGGAAAAGTGAAACCTGAAAAAAATTTGTATTTATTACGATAAATATTTTACTTTGGATATTTTTCCTATTTTTGTATATTACATATATTACAAATATTCTTTTGCATCTTTAAATTTTCCATAAATGCATATACATATATCCGCATTCTATTGATAAGTTTTATATTTTTCAAAAAATTAAATTTATTATTATTGTTAGGACTTTAGAAGGTCAATAAATTCTAAAAAAATATATATTTCAAAGATAATTTCACATATTATATTTTTTAAAAAAATGTTAGATATCATATGAATTTCTTGAAAAATTTCAATAATATTGGTAATTTAATTGTCTTATTAAATTAAATTTTTCAAGAAAATTTCATTGATTATAATTTTCCTATTTTTATTTTCATTTTCATATTTCTAATTGTTAATATTTTTTTTTAATAAATTTTTTCATTACAATAAATTAATTCTTGCAACATCTTTTATTATTTTAACTCAATACTTTTGAAAATATGTATGTATATCTGTTCATAAAAATCAAGATCTTTAATATTTTTTAAATTTTTAGTGTTTGAATTAAAACGTTTCTAAACGGAAGCAGCAACTTCCTGTTCCATTTCATGTAGCATATTATATAATCGTGTTTTGAGATTGTCTGGTACTGCAGCACGTGGTAAATGCTCGATGTCACCAGTTGGATTCGCACATTGTCGCAAAAGAACCGCCAGTGAGCTGGTGGTATGCTCTGACATTAATAGTCCAGGAATTATAAGAGTCCCTGAGAGAGTCCAACCGAGAAATATTTTCTCGCATATAATCTGAAATTGAATAGCCATTTAGCAATAGCAATTAACTTTTCCGATATTAATTTTATTATTTTTATAATTATATTTAATTTATAAAATATATATATGTTAATAAAATATGTTTTAACTATATATATGTATATTTCAATTATTTGTAATTTGAGAATACTGAAATAAACTGAACAACAGAATTTTTTCAAATTAATTTAACTGATTCATTAATCAAACTATAATTATTAATTACTTGTAAATTATTGTTGGCAACCGGTGACTCGCATCGTTTCCTTTTCGAGCAGAAAGACCTGCAATCAAAATAATCACAGTCCTCGTGTTTTTCACAGCTTTTGCTGTCCGCAGTGATACGGCTGATAATCGTTTTAGGAAATACCGCGTCCAGATCGAGGAACTTGAGTTTCTGCCCGCCTAAGGGCAAACCGAAATGGTTTATCTTCACATCGCACAGATGTATCGGTTCGGGAAAGTTGGTGTCGAGTTCTTCGAGCAGGTCTAGTATCATCACGGCCAGCTTCAATCGTTTCGCCCATTCCGGTTTCGAATCGGAGAGCGCGAGAACTGTCGTGGGTGTTTCTATAGGTCGTACGTATTCAACCGCGTAGAATGTCCCGCATGTGCCAATCAACTGTGGAAAAATGTCCCTGTCTTCGTACAGAATGCTCATCAGATACTCGTTTTCCTGTAACAGCGGCCACAGATTTTCCATCTCAAGCTGTCGCCTTCTGGGCTCGGTCTCAACACGATGCGTACGAAGTCGCGCTAGCCTCTCTAATTGATGCTGAGACAGCGTCACGTTCAGCTTGCTAACGACCAGATCTTTGATCATGGTGTTGAAGTCCGTCTCGGACGGGAAGTGCCTCGTTCCGCTCGTGTCCGTCCAAAACAACGATTCGAACTGCTCCGATGGGGCTTTCGTTCTGAAATTGCAATCATGTATATCGTGTACATTTCCGTTATTTATATATGATAAATTGGCGTATAACTTTAATTTTAATTTTAAAAATAACTTTAATTTTTCAGAATTTAAAAAAATTCTAAAATATTTTTAGAATTTTGATAAACATTTTGATAATAAAAAATTTTAGAGAATGCAGCCATCATTTTTAATTTATAACTTTTTTTGAATTTATATAACATAAATCAAGATGATTTTCTTGATAATTGATTCAAAAACAGTTATATTTAATGGCAATAAAAAATTAATTAATTTTTTAAATTTTTCTCATCTTATAGAAAGAAAGGAGATCACAAATAATATCACAAAAAAGGTTTTGAAAAAAGTTGGAAAACACTTGATGTGATATATATCATGAAAGAAAGAAAAATGAACCTTGAAGCCTTGAACACAAGTCGAGTTGTCTCCCAGTGAGCCGAGAAGACTGCTTCTTTGCCCGCGTGCAGTGTTTCGCAGGCAAGCGAGTGAATCCTTCTTTCCGCGCATAGTGGATCGCAGAGAATTCCTATTGCAGCTCCTTTTTTGTGCGTGCTGCACTGAAATGAGAATAATGATCAGGTACCGTAAGAATAATTCGCATTGTAAAAATTCTTTCAAGTATAATCAAATTATCATCGAATCACTATATTTCATTTTTTTAAAATTTTAAAATTTTTTCACAATACGATCTCGTTACTATATTATTCTCCTTCTTACATATTTTTCATTTACAATATTTTTACGAGCATTCTTATGACAAAAGGGTTATGTCAAAAACTCGGTAAAACATCGAACTGAAACAGGGAATTTTTTTAAACCAATTTTATGATTGAGGCGAAATTTCTCGCAAATCAGACTTCGCCAGTTACTTCCTTTAAAACATTATTTATTATACATTTATTTTTTGCATTATATTCACTCATAGTTTGTCATCCCGTTTAACATATAACAGTTTATATGTTAATACAAACAAGATGGCAAGAACACGTATATAAACTACTTTCTTTAAAGCAATATAATTTTACTTTTTCTTGTTTTGAAACGTCTGTGATTTGTATATATATATAATATTTTTTTCTTATATTATTTATTATGAATATATAGATATTTTAAAATAAATAATAATAAAATATAATAATAATCTATTGCTTTAGAAAATTCGTTTATCCAAAGGAAAATATAAAATCGTAAATATGAATCGTTTCTTTGTGCAATTTCCTCAATGAAATCAAGTTTCATTCAAGATTACTTGGATGTCGATGACGACAATGGTATTTGAATCGCTCGAGCGATCTCCGTTCGCATGTAAAAGTCACGGTTTAAGGGATATTCCGTTTGCGAAAAGTGTATAGGTTAGGTTTAAGTATCATATAAGTTTGTTTTCTTACGTTTATTGCGAACTTGAGAAAACAGATTCCGGCGAGAGTACACTATCAGTCAAAAGTTTTGAATCACTAACATAATCCAAAATTTCAAGAATCGAAACAAGAGTTAGGTTAGAATTTTATTCTATATGTCGAAAAATTTTTTTATGAAGGATCTATTGATATAAATGAAATTATTATTGATATCTATAGTGTTAATTATACTCACTAATAATAAAATTGACAAAAGGTTCAATGTAAATATATAACTGGAAAAAAGATTTCAAATTTTTGATTGGTAGTGTATGATCTACACCTACGAAACATGTTATGTTCCTCGTTATGTTATTTTCTTCTAAAAGTCGTTCTGGAATGAAGTAAGGTTATTGTGAGAGAGAAGATACATTGTTTAAGAGATTACCATAAACAGAATAAAGAAATATTGCGAAACTTTGGCCGAATAATGGGTTAGTTTTTTCCTTCAACCATTCACTTAGAAACTTGTTTATAACATAATTTATCTTAATATTAACAATAGCATAATTTATCTTAATATTATCTAATCTAATATCTTAATACTTAATACTAAACAAATCCTATTATGATCAATTATGTAATGTTTGTCGTAAACATTTAATTAAAGTGCAAAATATGTTATTTGATAAAATTGTATAATTCTTTTTAAGAAAAGACTAATTCAATTATAAAATTTTTATTAAATTCAATAAATAAAAACTCATATTTTGACTATTGTATTATTATATATATATATTAAATATTTTAAATTTATATTTATGAATTTTATATTATTATATGAATTCTTTCATTTTTATGTTTCTACAATATATGTATTTTTCATCCAGAATATTCATAGAGTATTCAAAATTCATGAAAAAAGAAATAATCTTTATCATTGTCCCAGAATCACAAGTATGAATACTTGAGCAACGCGAAAAAAAGAAAAAAAAAAAAAAAGGGTAGAAGTAGAAAGTTATGTATAAAACGGATTACGGA